CTTCATCCAGCCAACTTGGAGCTGGTTTTTGTTTTTGATTCTGTTCTTTTTGGTTATTGTGCTGGCTAGTTTTATGTCAACTTGACAAAAGCTAGAGTCACCAGACAGGAGGTTAACTTTAATTGAGAAAATGCCTCCAAAAGATCAGGCTGTAGGCAAGCTTGTAGGGCATTTTCCTTATTTAGTGATTATGGGTAGGGATACCCACAGGGCTGGTGGTCCTGGGTTCTGTAAGAAACAGGCTGAGCAAGCCATGGAGAGCAAGTCAGCAAGCAGCACTCCTCTGTGGTCTCTGCATCAGCTCCTGACTTGGGGTTCCCACTTTCTAGCTTCCTTCAACAATGGAGCACCATGTAGACGTATAAGCCAAATAAACCCTTTCCTTCTCCAGTTTCTTTGGACATAGTGTAATGGGAGATGTCCTTCTGTGTATGTTTCTCTTATTGGTTGATGAATAAAGCACTGTTCAACCAATGAGGCAGGAAGATAGGCAGGACTAAGAGATAAGGAGAATTCTGGGAAAGGCAGTCAGGAGCCCGCCAGAGCAGTGATGCTGCTGGAGGAGTAACACCATGCCGGGCATTACGGGATAAGCCACAACCTCTTGGCAATACATAGATTGATAGACACGGGTTAATAATTAAGACAGGGCTAGCCAATAAGAATATCTAGCCAATGGCAACAGCTGAATAATTAATATAGTGTCTGTGTGTTTATTTGGGGTGAAACAGCTGTAGGAACCTTACATTACAATAGTGTTTCATCAAAGCAATAGTAACCCTAACTAGGACAGTTCTCATGTAATTAAATGATTGTAGCCATCTCTAGGAAGGCATTTGTTGCTGTATTTAAGTATGCCTCCCCTTTACCCTGTAAGTGTAGAATCTTCCCATGAGGTCTCCGAAGACAAATGCCCTTTGTTATATTAAATAAAATGTTAAGCTGATACTAGCAATTTCTCATTAGTTTCTTGGGATAGAGTTCTATGAGTAGAATTAGTAGACCAAAGGCTATGAATCTTTTAAAGGTCTTTTATGAATACCATCAAATTATTTTGCAGAGAGCAATAAATGAATACATATGGTCTCCTTTAATTCCTATTATGATGGTGGCATCTGGTCCCATGACTATTATTGGAAAAAGTCTGACATGATTTCAAAGTTTAAATATGTCTATGATAGTAATAAGGACACAAGTACTTAAGTGAATACACAGGATTAAATCCTCATGACAGACTGGGCCAAGGTTCTGTATAACCCAGATGTTTAACTATCTGAGAAATTCCAAGGCACCGTGTCTCAGACCCACCCAGTACATGAGGGCCCTGGTTTCTCTACGTCTAACCCCTGAACAGCCTCCTAATCAGGTAGCAAGTTTTTATATTCACAGTTCTGATTTGTTCTTCAACGAAGTGTTGTGGTACAGGCCTGCCTTTCACTGGCAGAGCCATACTCTCTGGGGTGTACTAAGGGTCTTCAGTCATTTTAAACCTTGATTTCTTGTCTTTTCCCTATGAAGTGTGTTCTTTATAAATTTTCAACACAAGTTCTTGGGTTTTACCATTCTGTGGGTTTGTCTTCAGTTTCTTGTTGGTATCATTTGATGTAAGCATTTTAATCTAGATACATATTATTTGGTCTTTTTTTCGTGTGTTTCTTATGCTTTTTGTGTCATCTCTATGAAAATATGGTAACATATGAAGCCAGAAAAATGGTTTAGTGCCTACATTTAAAGATGAATTCATTTTGGTTAAATTTTACATATTAACTCAATACTAGGAAGGAGTACAACTTCAGTGTATGTGGATATCCCACCACTGGCTAAAAGGGTTATCCATCCTTCCACTGAATTATTTTAGCACCTCTGTAAAACACCACTTTAGTGAGGGGATGTAGCTCAGTGGTAGAGCCCATGCTTAGTAGGCACAAAAAACTCTGGGCTCAGTTCCCAGCACAAACGTCATCACCTCATAAACTGAACCACCACGTGTTTGGGAATCCACCCACCATGTCTTTGGGGATCACCCTCAAATTAGGCACCCAGTGCCTACCAACAGTTAGAGGATTATTACCATATTCTCTATTCTATACCAGCAATCACCACGTCTACCTGCATGTGAAGGCTACACTATAGGTCAGTTCACTGAGGGTGAAAATGGGACTTCTCCATCATCGCGTTTGTTTTGCAGATAATTTTGCAATCCGCTAAGCTTCGATGTGAATGTTAGGGTCTGTCAAAATCACAGCTTGAGTCAGGAGCTACAGGAAGCCTTTAGGTCATGAGGGAGAGCAATGCATGCTATCTTCCTAACCCGTTTACGAACTGTGCTTTCTCCTTTGTTCTGTTTTCAGTGACTTGTACGTTTCACCACGTGTGTTTCACACTTCTTTTATTGTACGTGCTCCTCTGTGGCACGTTCTTTTGGTAGTCTTATTAACGGAACTGTTTTCACTGTGGGGTTGCCACGGTCCCTTTCTTTTTAGGGCTGGGCAGCTCCCGCTTGTGTGGAGGCCCCATGCTTTGCCTGTCCACTCACCTGTTGGTAGACATTGGGGAGTTTCTTTTCTGTCGCTGTCACTAATGCTGCTATGAGTGGTGCGCACAAGTAAGTGTTTTGAGAATTGGCTTCCCGGTGCACAACTGATCATACGGTGTGGCTCTGTAGTGTCATTCCCCATCGTGGCTGTGACACTCACTGCCAACAGAGATCAAGGGCCTCTGTATCCTACCATGCCTAATACTTGTCTTTTTCTGTTTCCTTGACAACACTACCCTGGGTGGGAGGAGGTGCCTCGCTGTACTCGTCACTTAACTTGCCATTTCTCTCATGATTGTGCCTCTTGGCCACCGGCTTCCTTTCTATAAGAAGGATCTATTCATGTCCAGTCCCTGTTTTTTTTTTCCAGTGTGTATATGATATATATGTGAGTGTTTTTAGGAGTATGCATGCCCACTGTGATGATTTGAAGAAGAATGGGCACATATGCTTCATCACCAGGAAGCAGTACCACTTGAAAGCATTAAAAATATTAAAAAGTGTGGTCTTATTGGAGGAAGCGTGTCACTGAGGTGCCCCTCTGCCATGGTCTGCTTATTCCCTTGACACAGGCTTTCACTGAAACTGGAGCTAGGCTGGAAGCCAGCAAGTGCCGGGGATCCCCCTGCCTCTGCCTCCTACAGCACTGGGATTACAGGCAAGGGTACTCAGCCTTGCCCAGCTCCTTACACGGAGTTGAGGAAGCTGAAGAATTCAGGTCCTCACACTTGGGAAACAAGAATTCTTAGCCACTATGCCTTCTCCCCCAGCCCGTTGTTTGGCATTTTTTATGCAGTGTCTCCCTATGTAATCCGGGATGGCAATTAATTGACTGTGTTGTCCAGAGTGGTCTGACGCTTGCAATCCTTATACCTCAGCCTCTGGGGTGATGGGATTCCAGATGTGAGCCTGGGCTACACAGGTACACGGATTTGATAACTGAAGCTTTGTAGTGGGGTTTAACAGTAAATATGAGGAGGCTGACTCTACTCTTCTACTTAGAGGTTTTGACTACTTAAGAGCTCCAGAAATCCCATGTGAAACCAGGGTAAATTATCTGTTTCTGGGAAAGTGTAGCTGGGATTTCAAATGGGACTGCACTGAATCTATGTACCACCATGAGTAGTGCCGATGTCTTAACATATCAACATGCCTAAATTCCTGGCATAGTGCTGCACCCAGCTCAATATATTCAGTGCCAATTTACATCTTTCTGTGTGCAAATCAAATGTATCCTCTGTGTGTGTGTCAGTGTGTGTATGTGTGTCAGTGTGTATATGTGTGTCAGTGTATCAGTGTGTGTCAGTGAGTGTGTGTATATCAGTGTGTGTGTGTGTGTGTGTACACTTTTCCTGTTGCTCCTTTCCACTGTAGTACAGCAAGCACACGCTGAGTGTATACAAGGACATGTGACACTTTCAGAACAGCTGCCACCCCTGTGGGGAGCAGGGATAGAAGGGAGGCTGCGAGGGGAAAGATTCAGCTGCATCTACAGACCCCCTCCACCCTTTTCAGTAGAAAGTCTGTATACACTGTACTCTCTCCATTTGAAATCTTCAAAGTTTAAAATGCCAGAAAAATTTGCAAACTCTAAAATCATGGATTCTCTGAGCTGAGGCGTGAGCTAAACAAACACAACATTGCCTGTGCGTTCTCCGAAGACAAGAACCCATCCCGACACCACTCTTAGGCTAATTTTGGTCTAGCTATGGTGAGACACCAAGGAAACAACCACAGCTCTCCCCTCGGTGAGAGAAGAAGTGCCACACTCCACAAGCCTTCACATCAGGATGTCCACCTCAACCTGTGGAAGTTGGGGGGCAGCACAGGAACCCAAGCTACTCTCTGAGGATGACACACCGCACATCATCCAAGTGAGAAACAGGGAAATGGTTTGTTGTTCATTTGTTTGATGTCACATGCCAAAGTGGGTGCGTCCCCAGGATGAGTTAATGCCCTCATTTCAGAGCGTCTCCCTCATGAGAAAAGCGTAAAGCAGGAGAGGAATTTTACAGGGGAAATGAGCTCAAGGCAGTCAGATTAGTGGTCCTGAGTTCCTAAAATGAAACTGCAAACATACATGAAGTTTGGGCTCAAAGGAATGATCCTGACAGGGAGTGGCTTAGATACACTCCATGACAGATCGTGAGGGGTTTATATCTGGAAGTTGTTTTTCCAAGGGCGAGATTAGATCGCATTCGCACACCTTTAATCTCTGTAGCAAAGACAACCCTGTGACTGTTCAGTGGGTACCGCAGAGAAATGAATCAGGAAGTGGTCTAGAATGTGCTAAATCTAGGAATGTGTTCCCTAATTAGCATAAGAGGACAAAAAACTGTCCCCTTTAAATTCAGCTCATGAAGACAAGCACAGCTATCCTAGGGGCTGTGAAGAGACACTGGAGAGGCTAACAGGTTCTAAGTTTGCCTAGATAATTCAAGATTAGCAAATAAGCAAAACTCACGGTGAATGTGGACCCACTGTTGGATGCCACGACAGTGTGATCTTCATCATGTAACTTTATTGAGAGCTCCCACTTAGCTGCATCTGTTCTAACAACTGGTACTCTGAAGCAAGAAGAAAGAAAAACAGTTAATTATGTATTATTCTGTAGCAATAAACTCATTTCCTTTAACAGTGGTTTTTTAATAAAAGAGTCAAAGAACACACTTCACAACATTTCATTTTACTTATCTCACCCTTGGAAAAACAGCTTTCTGATGTAAACTGGAGAGATTTTCAAATATAGACACTCCAAAGACAACAGCAGTTCCTGTATTGTAAGTGTGGCACCATCACCTCATCTAAGAACCATCGTGGTAGTTTCAATGTAGTTGCCCCCATAATCTCATAGAAGACTAGGGGTATGGTTTTGTTGGAGCGGCTGTATCCTTGTTGGAGGAAGTGTGTCACTGTGGGGGCGGGCTTTGAGGTTTCCTAAGTTCAGGATACTGCCCAGTGTTTCAGTTGACTTCCTGTTGCCTACAAGATGAAGGACTCTCAGCTGCTACTCTAGTACCACATCTGCCTGCATGCAGCCGTGCTCCCTGTCATGACGATAATGGACTGAACTTCTGAAACTGTAAGATGCATTCTACAGGCCTGAGGACATGAATTCAACTCCTGGAGTCCACACAAAAGCCAAAGGACAGAACGGGCTCCACACAGACCTCCCCACAATACCTCCCCACAATACATTAATCAACTTGTAAACAATACAGACTATTCCTCCATAATGCCAAGTGGAAAAACCTACCTTAGTATATCAGCTAGACTAAAACCATAAGGAGAGGCAAAACTAAGCTACGTTAAGCTGCACGACCCACACAAGTTCACAACACTGACTGGCACCGTGTCATGGAAAACCATGGAAGGCAGCATGGCTTGCACACAGCCTGTGTCTCCTGTCTTCTCCATTCCTGGCTTTCTGATGAGCCTGGAGTATGATACAAGGCTGCCAGAATTCTGAACAAAGCTAGGCTTACCGTACAAATGTATGTTTGGTGTTACATTGGGCAGAAAAACTAAGTCAAGCTGCCAGGAAAAAAAAGTGTGTGTGTGTGTGTGTGTGTGTGTGTGTGTGTGTGTTATGTTACCTCAATTTTGCTTTAAAAAGTAGTGACTTCAAAATTAACCCTAGTGCCACACATTTATATTCTTCTTATCTTTAAGGTACAATTAATGCTAGCACTTTTTTAGTATCTAGGCTCTAGCTCCAGCCATTGTATCTAAATTTAATGTTACAGGTTATATTTTTCATTCAGGCCTCTCAATTTCAAAAGAATTGTATTACCTTGTATTTAAAAAAAAAAAGCTCTCAAGTCCCCTCTAGTTACAGGGCCTGGTGAGGAGAGAGTAACAGGAGAGGGTATGTTTGTACTGAGTTGGAAGACACTGCTAGGCAACCTGAAGAGAACTGCTTCAGAGGGCAGGGCCTCATACGGAAGAGAGAGAGAGAACAAACAGAGGCCCTTGGGACGACGAGGACAGGATGAAAGGGGAGAGGGACGAGAGGAAGGTAACGGCCCAGTCAGGGCAGCAGGCAAGAGACTCTCTGCATCTGTTCCTCACTTAGCACCTGCATCTCCTTTGCACGGGGCGCTGCCACGTCCCCGTCTAACCCACAACTGTCACTCCTTACCTTTAATTACTGACGTATTTTTTTTCTAGTGCTGGGATGGAGCCTAAGGTTCTGTGCCTGTGAGGCAAGACTCCCAACACTGGGCTACAGCCCAGTCCGTTTCTGGGGGAGGGGCCTGAGGAGCCACGCAAGTGCAGTAGCTGCGATGCCCGGGAGCCCAGGGCCGTCTGCAGGTCTAAGAGCTGTCTGGGGTTCTAGGGTTGTCTCCTTGCTAGGCTACATTCCTTGCTCAGCCTCAGAGGGTGAGATGCCCATGCTCTCAGGACAGCCACTGTGCAATACGGCTTTCCGACGTCTTTGTTTTCCTTGGTAATGAAAGTACTTCCTTCCTGATGGTGACAATGGTGTGGCATCCTTCTTCACACCATGCTAAGTCTTAATTGGGCTTCTTACCATTGAGTGCTTCCAAGGAAAGCCCTGATATCTTGTGTCTTACTTCTTTTCTAATGACTCCAGCTGGTGTGTGCCAAACTGGACCAGCTAGCTCCCTTCAGTTAAGCCAAACGAACTGAAGGCTGAGGGACTGAGCACGGTGGTTATGAACTGGATGCTGCTGACCCACACAAGTGGGGCCAACTCTGCCTGTATCTCTGGCCTTGAGCAAATGGCCAGGATGTGTTTCCTTGGTAAAACGTTAAAATAACGGTGGTATGTGCACTGACAGACACACAGAGGATGAAATGGAGGCACATGAAGGTAGCCTGATGATTAGCCCCACCTCCAGGCCTCTCCTCTTGTTTGGGCCTGTGACTGAAATCCCACCATTCCAGCAGCTTTGGGCTCCCTCCCCTCTGTCTCTCATCTCCCAAGTAGGGGATCACTGCCCCCTTCACTGCCTCAATGATAATGTAATCTCACTGTCTTTCTTCCACTTAACCAGTAACGTGCTCTGTCGTGTTTTCTGAAATTCAGTGGCCGTCACTCAGAGTCGAGGCCCTTTCCAGCAAGGCAGCCAGCCACCCTTCGCCTGCAGATGAGGCGGGAAGTTGCTGATCCCAGTGTCCTGTTCTAGCCCGAGACACTTTTTCCCACAGAAAACGATCCGGCAGATGGTGGTGAGACAGAGCTGCCTCTCCTCGGGACCCAGCCATTATTTATTTTTCCACTGCTTTATTTTGACCCACATCTGTTTCGTGTATGTTGTAGCTTGCCCCAGGAGGGACCTTATGGAAGAGCACGGGCTTCTGGGAGAAAGTCCAGAGGCTCATGTCTCGGCTCCTTCTCGCCTCAGAGATGCGCTTGAGACCCTGTGTCCCTGGACCTGTCAGAGGACTCCTTCTGGGACAGGCAGGAGATGGGATCTTAAACTCCTGCCTGAAGTAGCACTCTCTTAACAATGTCATCTAAGATGCTTTGGTAAAAGAAGGGAAGAAAGCAGTTCCACTGAGAGGCCATACCTCCAGGGGCCGAGAAGAACAGAGAGCATGAATCCCCAAGTAGGGTCAGTAGGGTTTATCTGTCTTTGCATGTCTTTAAAGGAATGCTGACTTTACCTGGTGAATGGAATGGATGATTTGGGCGTTTATGCCAGTTACCAAGCCATACAATATTGAACCAAAGTAGACACAGAGACAAACCTGGAGAAATGTTTGCTCTGGTTCTGCAGGTTTGCTAAGGGAACAGTGATAGTTTGGGGGTTTGCTTGTTTTGTTTTTGCTTTTGTTTTTTGAACACCCATTTCAATTCAAAAAGCATGGACATGATAGTAATTACTACCTAAAGATATATTTTAAATATTTAAGAAAGAATTATACCTGTTGATACAACTCAAAATGGTTCCAAATGGGCTGTGAAGTTTGGGGTGGAACATTTGCATAGCAGACACCAGGCCCTGGGTATCACTCTGCAAGGAGTGAAAAGAGCCAAGGGGAAATAATTACAAACCCTCGCCAAAGGTGAGGAGCTGCTTCTCAAAGTCACCCCACTGAATGCCTGGGGCTCAGCTTCTCCTCGTGAAAGGCATTTCCGAGCAACGGGCTGCCATGGGTCCAAGGTTCGCTCTGTCCGATGTGATCTGCACATTAACATCTGAAATCACCATACCTAGTGATAAGGGTCTCACACACCAGCAGTTCACAACAAGCCAAGGTTCTACCCAGGCCTTCCTGCTCCCATTACCAGCCGCTCAGCCACAATCGATCCTCTCAATAAAACCCAACCTTTCCATATCTTACAGGGAAAAGCGATGGCTGATTTTTTTTTTTTTACTAGTCTCAATTCTAATACACACAACTTAACCAAAAGACAGAAAACACACAAGTGATAGTAATTTAGATGCATGGCTACTAACAGAGACGCCCAGCATTACACACGGACCCAAGCTAGGACAGTGGCCATCCAAGAGCACACTGCAGACACCAAGGAGCTGAGGCTGGCGGCGCCCCTCAGAACAGTGAGAGCAGTCAAGGAGTCACGCAGAACTGCCTCGCCACTACTTCTCCAGCAAGTGGTTTGCAAGTCGACCTAGAATAATCTGCCGAATTCACAGTCGCTGAGGTCAGTTCCTACATGTGGATCCTCTTAGGTAGAAAGGATGCTCAGAAAGTGGGCCATTTATCTAAAACCAGTTCAGAAACCTTCCAGCGTGGCGAAGAGCTGTGTTATGCAAGCACATAGATGTATTCAGTTGGGGTAGACAGACCCTACACAGGCAGACTACAAAGGAGCCCTCCCATGGCTCATGAATAAGTCGAGGAAATGATCAGGAAAAAAAAAGTGGGGGAGAGAGAGAAAGATGTTTAGACAGATGGCCCACTTAAAATGCCTGAGATAGGGAATAAGAAATTTTAATGAAACTTTTAGATCTAGCGTATGAATTGTTTCTTATTTTCCTCAACTGACGAGGAAAAGAAAACAACTCCCAGGAAGACAGAAAGTCAGCCGTTTGCTTAAAACCTCGCTTTCAGCAAGTTCAGATGGAGGAAGGGTCACAAGCTCGGGTTTTAGTCTTGCAATAAATTCATGTGAAATTCTCCACAGAACCATCAGCTATCAAAATGAATAGAAAAAAAGCATGGAGGGAACAGATTAAAGGAATTTTAAACAGAAGCCTACTGCCAAACCAAACACAAATCTATGCCTTATTATGTGAGAACTTACAACAGGGCAACATTAAAGTTCATCACTGTGAAGACAGATAAAAGTAGCTTTCGGAGAATCCTTCAAAGTCGTGTGGGAGGAACAAGCACCACCTCCAGGCAAATTAAAATGTGTGCCTCCCAACACATGACGCTGGGCCTCAGCCTGTCACAACACTATCCTGAGAATTGTCGGACATCACCACATTCAATACTAGCACTACAGATGATCAGACAAGGGACATCGAACCTGGTGACTCCTCCCGCAGGGAGGACAGCACAGTCACGGGGAGGAGTCACCGCAGGGAGGACAGCACAGTCACAGGGGAGGAGTCACTGCAGGGAGGAT